CGAAAATAAACTAATAACTAATAACGAAGCGAATTGAGCTGGCAAAATAGAGACTATTAACGACGTTTTGGATTCTACCTCTTAACTCGTCCAACTTCGATAATTTAGAGAGTTTCCAAGACGATACTCTTCTGTGAACGAACAGAAGTCGCGGCACTTTGAATTGATTCAATTGCATCACGCGATCACATCAACGAGTTCCCGATAGCCCGTCACTTTTAATTGTCCAATAAACATTCATCTAATTATTTGATAATAAAAAATTCAATTCATAAAAAGTCAATTTTCAAGTTGTATGATGTAAAAGTATTATTATTATATTTACAATCATTGAAATTACATTGTTTCAATCTTCAATTATTAATAAAGATGTGAGAACAATGTACTGATCGTATTAACAGCAGAATTCACCAAATACATCTTCCCAAGTTTGTTCCGCAAACTCCCTCTTCCTAAATTTTTCCAAGTACGCATAACATATATATCATCAAATATCCAATATAATTTATGACGCCTTCTTAACTGCACTTGCGAGAATCCCTCAATGAATTCATCTCTTCGTCGCCTCGTGTCAATGTATAAATATATTCACACTTGTATGCATTATAATATATCGAAGAAACTGAAGCCATTATAATTATGTATGTTGCATAAGTCTATCCATTTTTTTTCGCACAAAAGTGTATATATATACACACAGGCGAGACGTATAGAGTTACCAAGAGCGAGTCACCAGATAAGAGGGCTGTAAATTCGAATGGAGGCATGGCTGGCTGACTTTTTGGGTATGGGTTACGTGTGTATTATGGTAAGGAGTCAAGAAAAAATGCGAATTAACCGAGTCAAAGCCGGGTATTAAGGCTCCTCTGGTGCGTATACAAAATGGTCGGGGCTGTACTATATATTGCGAGATATATTGTGGGCTTTGCGAGCAATTCGCGTAAAAATAAGTTTTATACGAACAGAGGAAAGGAGAAGATTTGTGTGTAAAAAAATTACTAATGTAATTGGAAAAGAAGTACGTAACATAAATAACTATATTATAGAATTTAATTGATTGCAAATCGTATAAAAAAAATTGTACGAAAAATTCACTACATAAACGGCTGTTTTAAAACATAAAATGTCAAATTTATGGGTAGGAATATTTCAGTGTCATAAATATTAACTATTTTGTACCTATATAATAGAATCAAGTAATTCGTAAATACCAATTTAGCGATACCATTTCGCATAAGAATCAACCGTGACTGCTTAATTTCATATGTTTAAAAATAATAAATTTGTTAATATCAGTATCTCATGGTTCCTATAAATTTTTGTCCTCCGTCTATGAATATTCTAAATTCGTGTCATGAAAGCGGCTTTGCACTCTGAAAAAGTCTTAATGTTAAATAATTATTTTAAAAAGTTTTCTTAAATAAAATGTTAATAACATGAGTAAAAAACATCTACATACTTTTTGTTAAAAATTATATAGATGTATTTTTATCAATTATTTTCTTGGTTTAAAGCCTTTTCAAGATCTCTGTATAAGAGTCCTGTATACCTCTGCATTGCCACGTAAGTAATTATTTCTTAAGTATAAAAGACAGCCTCAGATTATTAAATACTTATGTGGCAATGAGGGTCTACATTTTACATGGCTGCCACACTATCAGGCCAGATTGAAGTAAGCACATATGAAAGTAATTTCACAGAGGTGCTGAATCTCGTATCCAGCCGGAAATCTGATCAAGTAAACAAAACCTATTGAGTAATAAAGCCCAACGCCTTATTACTTTTTTGGTCTAGGTTAAAAGCTTTTTTGGTTAAAAGCTTTCTAAAAAAATTACTTGACAGTATAGTAAAAAAGTTGCAATGAATAATAAAAACAAAGAAATACCATACTCTCATGCCGTCTGATGCGCAAGAAATGCACATGAATTTGTATAGTTAAAGTTGAAAAACACATTTATACACGAGTAAAATAAGATTCATGCAACTTTTTTTGATTCGCTCAACGAAAACGCGTGTGCGTTTTGTAAGCGAAGAGGCCCCGCCATTTTATACACTTTTGTCTAAAACACCATACTTATGTAAGGTATACACGCCATGTACATGATGTAGCCTAGCACGGTATATAAAATATACTACGCTCACGACATGACATGTGTTCTGTAAGTGTCCGCAATGTTGGAGTTCTTGCTGTTTCCATACGGTAGGACGGACAGATGGTCAGCTATACAAGTAAAATTGAAGAGAATGTCACCATGTTTTATTTATAGACATCGAATTGACTTTTAATCGAGAATACCGTAAAAATGAACTTTCATTCAATTTTATTCTCGATGAATAAGGAAGGTTATTATTAGATTTTCGGAACAGGTATAGGTGTTTTAATTCAAACTAACAGTATCTGTTTTGTTATCTGTGAAATATTGGGGTGAGGGAAATATATATTTAATGATAATAACACTACTGATTTGAAAATGAGAATTTACATATTTTTCAGTCCTAAGTATGATTATAAAAAAAAAAAATGTTTCTTGTTGCATAACAGTACTTTTTTGTTAAAATATACATTAATGGAGGTTCTAACCATTATAGTTATTATATACATCATAATACATGTTATTTAAAAAATTTTTAAATTAAAGATTCTTCAATAATATGGAACACTACTACTAAGGACTCACAATATATAATCATAAACTGTAGTTTACTGTTTCATTCAAAACTATGTAAAATACCACAGAACTAAATAAGGAACACTGAGGAAGGCTTGGTTCAGATTGAATTCTTTGAACTGTTCACATTTCAAACAAAAAATTACCACAAAATTACGCAATATATTTTTATAAAATTAACGGTACAATACTAAAAAATGTTATAAGTAGATTGATGTTGTCGATGACATGTTATAATTAGAAGTGTTTCATTATTACTAAGCATAAATTTGGAGTCTACCTTTACATAAAAAACTATAATTTTTGAATAATATTTACTGGTAGAAGAAAATAGTAAAAGTGGTGGTATATAATTAGAAATAGCTAAATTTTCAAGAAAAAATGTTCTCAGTGAATAATATCAGCTACAAGTACGAAGGAGGCATTCAAAAATATATAAAAATAATTAAGTTCTGAATAAACAACATAAGTATATATTTTTAATGTAGTTCTACAATATTAAATTTATACTTAAACAGTAACGTGGATAAAAGCAAAAAACATCTCATTAATTTTCGTTTCGTCAGAAGGTACCTTTTTTGTAGCTATGATAAAAAAATGACATTAAAACCTATTTTTGTACGAAACCTACATTCAAATGTGTAGATATCGACCCCTTCGAGCACATGGTAGCGTGGCCGAGCGGTCTAAGGCGCTGGTTTAAGGCACCAGTCTCTTCGGAGGCGTGGGTTCGAATCCCACCGCTGCCAAATTTTTGCTAGTAAAAGATATTTTCTTTTACACTTTTTACTTTAATTCATTTAAAAATTCATTAAGTTTTTTTTTACTTTTGTAGACAAAAGTTTTTTCTTAAATTGGTGTACCAGAAATCTGCGATACCATACGTCAGTAATAAAAGCTATTCATCTCTGGTAGGTATGATAAATAAATCAAATAACTACCCTACCTACAACATCAGGGTTTTAAAAAATATTGCAATTTTATAATACCAACTGAAAAATCAAAATGTGGTATTATATTGACGTAAAATCAATAGTAATATAAAAAATAATATAAATTATAATGAAATAGTAATATAACATATTATATCTACGAGTGTCATGGTTGGAAATAAAAAATTATCTAAGTCTTGGACCAAGTCAAGCTGCTCGATCGCCTATTTCGAAAATGCAGACTTGGTTACTACAATAATTTTTGCTGAAATATGTTTTTCCGTTTCACCAACAAAAATACATGTTTATGATTTCAAAACACTGGAATCTTTATGAGTAATTTTATGCGTTAATTATTTGGTAAAGTCCCAACAAAATAAACTCTGTGATTTTTCGAAATACGAATCAATTAGAATTAACCCTGCATGCTGCATCCATCATCATTTTAAAATATTATTTAAAGTACTACAGAGAAAAATTTACTTTTAAGTAAATTTTCAAGTTTATTATAAACAAATTATTAGTTAAAATTGTTCTGACACTTTAGAATTATAAAATTCAAATTTTTAAATATTTGGGGTAGCCTAGAGGCTCTCTACCAAGAAAAAATCAACTTCTATAAATTTTTTTCATGTTATAATGCATAAATTATTGTTTACAGAAAAACAAAGTAAAATTATGTTAGGAAGGTGTCAAGAAAAGGAAATATTAAGAGAGATAGATTTGGAGATGATTTTTTTTTTAAATATTTTGAGGTAGAATACCGTCAAGCCATACATTTTTATTCACATAATAATAACAATAGTTTCAGAAAAAGTACCTTTTAGTTAGCCAATAAAAATTTATCTAGTAAAGTTTTATTTAAATTCTCGTAAAAATTCACTCCAGTTTCGAAACAATCGCAAAACTAATATTTTCCGGAACTATTTCCTTTCTTCAATTTTTGTATTCGATATTTTTCATAGAACATATAGTGATACTATAATTTTAATGATTGTACAACTTATTCCACCATCATAGCTTACTGACACCTGACCCTTAAAAATTAAAAATTGAATGCGCTCGTTCGTAGATTAAAAATTTCCCTCTTTCCCTGTACACATAGTAACAGGCGTGTAAATATAAAAACAACACATCAAAAGTAGCAAAATTCACGTTTATCTCTAAACAAGCTCATCTCGCTCCCACAGATAACGCAGTTGAGGATCGGCTGTTCGCCTAAACGTGCCAGAGCCCATACCACCGCGCATCTATACGTATACCGTACGAATTATTCGAGCTACAATCTGTTGCACTGTTATCTCTCTTTTTTTCCCTTCCAGAGAGCTGATGATCTTAACTGGGGAAATGTGCGTATTGTTAGTCAGAGCAGCAGAACAACAGCCCCATCGAGCAAGTCTCGTTGTCGACACTTAGAAGTGCTCGCTAGATAATATTGACATAAATCGAGAATACGTGCGTGATGTGTAATTTATTACACGGGATTCTAAAATATACTTTTAAAGTAAATAGTTTTTATTCAAATTAACACTAACTCAAGAAATCGGCGAAAAAACGTTTCGTCTTCAATTACGTAAGCTGTGATCTTTTACTAAAAAATTTCCGGGTTATCATCTAAACGCTTGTGTACAGAACAATCGTTACTTTGCTCGCACGCAAGATAGTATAAGTATACTTTTTACGCGTCAAGAATGACGTTTGCGAGCACAAATCTCAGATAGCAGCTTCTTTTCTCTCGATCAGCAAAATGAGCAATACCGAATAAACAAGAAGAAGAAAACCCAGAGAAGGTCACCGTGAATGCTTTTTTTATCACAATTTGGGAGCAGCAAGTTCAAGGACATCATGGAAATCGTCCACGCGTCCGTGTGGGAGCGCGTAAAACTCTGCTTCCTGGCTGTCGTGTTTGGATGGTACTTGGTGTTACGGAGACTTTTAAAGTGGGCCTGGAATCCCAACCAGTTTTTTGTCCTAAGGCCCAGGGACAAGCCTCCTCCCTGTCTAGTTGACAACACCTTCGGGAAGCACTCGTACATCAAACTAAAGGTGTGTTTTTTTTGCCTTGTTAAAATAGAAGCGATTATGTGTTAGCTACCGCAATCAGTGTATACAGTTACTGAGATTGATGAACCAAGCGTGCTTTCGTTTGAATTATAATTTGACGTTTTTGTCGATCTAATCAATGTTAAAAATCTTACTATCTGCTTTGGACGATAAGACATGAAAGTCTGTGGGCCAAAGGACAAAAAGAATATTATTCACGCGTAAGATAAGTGTCGCGTTATACCTAGGGGTAAATAATATTTATTATTTTAATAACAAATAATGTAATTACAATTGTTATTACGTTTGAAAACACTTATTTAAAACGATTCTCAATTATTATTATTATAATTTTTTAACATTCAGTTTATTCATAATCCTCTGAAGAGTCCTGTACGGTACTGCATTACTGTGTCAGAATTTATTTATTTGTTATCGTCATTGGCTTAAAAAAATTGCCTCCGATTAATATTTTTGAATCAATCATTTACACAGCAATGAGGATCTACATTTTACATGATTTCCAAACTATCAAAACATTTCAGAGGCACTTATTTATTGTATAATAGTAGAGTAGTTGAGTGATAAAATATGTAATTTGTCTACCCTTGGTGGCACTGACGATAAAAATTACACAATTTTTCGTCACAAATAATCATAGAAAAAGATTGATAAGTGCATTTTGGGTAAGGAAAATTTGATTTCAGCGCAAAGTACTCAGATAGATACTCAGTTTGACCTTCGATAAAGAACATGCTAAAACCAATGTATGCAAAATTCACAAGCTTTATCGAACATCGAACGATCGCTTATTTTTTTTTTAATGTGATTGTCGGAGAGATTGATGAGTCGAAAGCAATGCATTGGGTCGTGACTGAATCACGCTTGTAAAGTTCAAGGCGGAAGAAATGAAATTGTCAAAGCGGTGATAATTATAAGTTAAAACGAAAAAATTATGATAACAATAGACTTTAATTCTTTAATATTTGATTAATTATGTACTATATGATAAAAAGAGATATTTATCTTTTTAGAAGAAAGTGATAAACCAAAAAACGAGTAGACGCATTGAAACAATTTCGTATAGTAGACATGTAAAAAAAATTATGAATATTAAACTTTTTATTTTTTTGAGATTGTTTAACAAACGTACATTAATTATAATGAATATAGATTTAAACATAAGCTATGGTTTTTGTATATTTATTTAGCCCTTGTATGTAAATATAATAATTTTAAATCAAGAAAGATGGTAGGTCTTGATAGAAANCGACACGTGACTCAAGGGGACATTGTTCTTCTCCGCAGCCTTCGTCAGTATCACCTCAGCCTCGCGCGTTCGTCCCACCGCCAGCAACCACCTCGACAATTAAGAATTTAAATAATATTTTTAAACGTGCAAGTAAACCCACCTAAAAATTCAATAAATTGTATCATTTTTGAACTAATAGTTTTCAGACTGTCTTATAAACGACGCCAAATACGTCGACGTTATGATTTAACGCGTCTTTTGAAGTGATAAATTAGGTAATAAACAAACATATATCGGACGAAAAAGGCACATGCAAAAACCAATTTCGGAAATTTTTACATTCCTTATTGCTCAAGCGTAAAATTATCTAATACTAATTGTCTATTGTACGCAATACTAAACTACCTACATAAGAATTATAATTTATTTGTCAATACTTTTGTTGCAGGGCATAAAATTCCATTATGTCGAAGCCGGGAACAAAGAAAAACCTCTCATACTATTGTTGCATGGGTTTCCAGACTGTTGGCTATCTTGGAGAGAACAAATTCCTATTCTTTCCGAATACTATAGGTGACATATCATCCGGACATGTTAATATAAAAGATACAATGACTTGCGGAATAAACGTTTTTCTCTTTCATGTACTAAAAATTTCTGAACTTCGCGTAGAGTTGTAGCCCTGGATTTGAAAGGTTTCGGTGACAGCGACAAGCCACTGAACAAAAGTTCGTACAGAATCGAAACACTGATAGACGAACTGAAACAGTTTATTTTGTCACTGGGAGAAAAGAGTTGCAGCATCATTGGACACGACTTGGGCGGCCTGCTCGGGTGGTATATGGCTGCAATTCACCAGGACGTAGTTTGTAAACTCATTTGTATCTCTAGTCCGCATCCAAATTTTTACTGGAACACCATATCCGGCGAGACAATATTTAGTCGAAAGTACGTTTTTTTTTGTATATTATTTACAGTTCAATAACCAATATTAATCTAATTGTATTGCTTCGTAACATTCAGATGGGTGTATTTCAGTACGCTGCCATTTTTACCAGAAATCGACGTCTTGAAGGAAGATCTTGCTGTCATTAATGATACTTACAAGCATTTACAATTGACGGAACAAAAGAGCAATAAAGACTACGTCGAAGCGTATAAATACGCTTTTAGTCGAAAAGGTGAAATACTTCTGAAACAAAAGGAAAAAAAAATTATTTTTAGCACTAATTCGCAATATTTTTCAGAGGATTGGACTGGTCCAATAAACTATTACAGAAATTTACCGTACACTAGACTCGGTCGGGATGGTAATCAGCAAATAACAACGAAAACTCTTCTGATTGTTGGAAACGCCGATCCATACGTGTCCCTGGAAAACATCATACAGAGTACCGAGTACGTGGAAAAATGCAATGTCAAAGTCGTTTCGGGAGCTGGGCACTTTCCACACCAAGAAAAGCCACAGTTCGTCAACGAGTCAATAATTAAGTTCCTTGTTGGTGAGGCATACGAATAACCCTAGCAAACATAAAATATGGTTAAAAATAGTTATAAATTTGATTTCTCTAGGTCAACTAGTGGAAAAAACTGCGCCAACCAAAAGTATTGTCTCTTCGTGGCTAGGATCGTTGAGTACCACTGTGAAGTACGGAAATCAAGTGTTTGACGCTGTGCACAAAAGAACGAATGGAGTAGTCCCGTTGTCGCGTAAAGTTCCGGAACAAACGACTACATAAACGTAAATAGACTTTTATAGTGAAGCAGTGCTAAACTTTTTGTCGATTTACTTGTGATATTTGTGAGATTTTAATCGTAAGACTCGGTTTTTCAAGTGACGTGAACCTTTAGATGATATTTGTGTAAATTAGGGATTGTGTCAATGTTAAACATACACACTGACAACTGATACAGTTGAAAATATTACTATTTTACATATTTTCTGAGTAATATACATATAACGTGATATTAATAAGCTATTCTATGCTTAGTTGGGAAAAGCCATGTTTTTCCATCAGATTTAAGCTTCGTAATAACTTCATTGAAATGCATTATAATTGTACAGTAATACATAATTTCTTTGTAGATCATTAAGATGTATTGAAAATAACAGTTTTATAATATGTAACACCACTTGTCTTCTTTTTTTATTACATCTACTGTTAATAAATATGAAATGTATAGTGGGGTGTCCGTTGTTTCCCAATTTTATTCTTTAGACATACACCCTCTTAAATTTTTCAATTTTAGCTTAAAATATTTTTAACCATCAAATTCGAATAGAAGTTAAATTAACACGTGCCTTTAGATGCATTTGGATTTTTCATTTAAATAACATAAATTTGTGAATTATTTTTAATTCACTAGAACGAATTTAAAAAACTATTTCTTAAAATTATTCAAAATCCTTTATGTTATTTAAATGATCGATCCAAATGGATCTGTCAGCACGAGTTTATTCAATTTTCATTCAAGTTTTTACACTTAAGGTTTTTCATTTTAATCTATTAAGAGAATACAGTGGGTATATAAGTAAAAAATAAAATTTGAAGAGTAACGCACACCCATACATAGGAATAACAATATTAAATATTTCAAAACTTAAGGCTTTTTATGCAATACAAAAATAAACTATAATAACTCTCAATAGTTTAACACAAGACCACAGAGTATGGAAAGATTCAAAAGACAGTGTAAGTATAAATTCAAAGTAATATCAAACTTTTCAATGTTACCCTAGAAAATGTCACGAAGAGTTGATCGATGAAAATGATGTACATAAATCAGTCTTTGCCATCTCTGATGTAACTTTCCAAAATGGATACCTGCATAAGTGCAAAAGTATACGTAATGATCTACAAATGCGCAAAGAAAAAACGAAACCATCATGATCTCAAATGCGTTTGTTTTGCTCCCTCGATGTCGTTAAGTCTCTAAGCTTGACTCTTCTTCGAGGTTTTTCTGCAACAAAACACGCAATTATTCCAAGCGATGAACTATAGAACCAAAAATGACGATCTTTCAACTCCGACTCACTTTCCGAAATTCTCCGCCTCCTCTATCGTTTCCGGGAGCTCGCAATCCATGGTCTCCGGCAGCAGCAAACAGAGAGCCGCCCCAATGATCGGCCCGATGCCGAATACGAGAGGTGGCAGCCATTCATACTTGTGACCCTGCGTGAACACCCAAACACAGATATGTTACAAATTTAATTGGATCGCTACCAATTTGTTGAAAAAAAAAAAAAGCCACGTTACTCACAATGGTGGCAACGAAAGGAGCGATCATGCTTGCGATCCTCGCGCAAATACTGCCGGCACCAATGCCAATGTTCCTCACGACGGTCGGAAAAACTTCGCTGCTGTACAAGTAAACCGTGGGAAAGGACAACGACATGCCAGCTATACCGATAGTCGCCAGAATCACGTGTATCGTTTTGTTATCGAAGAATATGATCAGCAGCAGCGTCACCCCCGAGACAAAGCTACCACCCATGAGTATACGCAGCCGCGAGACCCTTGAGATCAGGAAGAGCACGATAAGGGTGCCGGGCAGCTCCACCGCCGCTGAAAAGTTAAGATGTGAAGAAAGAGGTCTTTTGATTGTTTTAAACTCTATAATAGGGTGACTGAATCTCATTTTTTATGACTACTTGCGATTTTTAATCAATATCTCGGTAGAGCGAAAGTTGTTCGAGGACGAGATCAGAATAAGAAAGTGGTGATATATTATACTTTCACCGGTTACAAAATACACCGCATCATTTTTTGAACCATTTACCATGAATTATTATTATACAATAATCAAAGCCTTGGAACAAATTAAAAGAAAAAAAGGCCCTTTGTCGCACAGCAGCCCCACTAAAATTCGTCAAAAGTTGTCAACTCGAAGCTCGACTCGAAGTTAAAATTGTCAATACCCGAGATGGCCGAGTTGACGAACACATTGCCCTTTATCTGGCCGATGTACTGGGCCAGTCCGAAGAAGCACATGCCGCAGACAAACCAATTGACGCAGACGCAGATCGTCTTGAGGCATAAATTCGGGGTGCGGAACAAGTGCGTCACATTGTACTTTTTCTCCTGATCGGATTTCTTTGACTGGGTGTAGCTGGTGCTGTAGGCCTCGATAGCCGCCGACACGTGACTCAAGGGGACATTGTTCTTCTCCGCAGCCTTCGTCAGTATCACCTCAGCCTCGCGCGTTCGTCCCACCGCCAGCAACCACCTCGGTGACTCGGGGATTATCCTTCAAAGTAATGAGTCGTATTTTTTGTATCTATAGTTTTGTGAATTTGGTTTTTTATTATTATTTTTATTGCAGCATCATTGGACACGACTTGGGCGGCCTGCTCGGGTGGTATATGGCTGCAATTATTATAATGAAATAGTAATATAACATATTATATCTACGAGTGTCATGGTTGGAAATAAAAAATTATCTAAGTCTTGGACCAAGTCAAGCTGCTCGATCGCCTATTTCGAAAATGCAGACTTGGTTACTACAATAATTTTTGCTGAAATATGTTTTTCCGTTTCACCAACAAAAATACATGTTTATGATTTCAAAACACTGGAATCTTTATGAGTAATTTTATGCGTTAATTATTTGGTAAAGTCCCAACAAAATAAACTCTGTGATTTTTCGAAATACGAATCAATTAGAATTAACCCTGCATGCTGCATCCATCATCATTTTAAAATATTATTTAAAGTACTACAGAGAAAAATTTACTTTTAAGTAAATTTTNTATTAGTATTTGTTTTAAATTAAACTAAACACGCTGGTCATCATGCGATCATCTCGCGTCATGAAAATCCTTGGCGTTTTGCGTTCTCGCGTTGCACTCTAGTTGGCAGGTATATTTTACGCAATCTTTGTTAATGACACCGTTTTACGCCACCGCAATGTTAACATGTATACTCATAAACCACATCTATCAAGTACATCTCGTCCAAAGAAAATATCTGGGTGTTATAAAATAGCAAAAGTATTAACATGTATAGTCAGCAAAAGGCACACAAATATTATTTAATTGCTCGACACAGATCACAACGTGCATTCCCAACTGTCCCGCGGCTGAATGAAAAAGTGCCGCTAGCTAATGCCCCAAGAGAGAATGAACCATAAAAGATATGAGTATACCCTCCTCGCCCCTCCGAACTCCCATCATATTGTTTTATTTGCAGTAGTCGGTGTGTCTCTAATCGAATAATCGTTTCCTCCGGGCAACTTTTCATTTTCGCCGCCCGACGACAAATTAATGTCTCCAATGAAACCATTGCGAAATCGAGAATACTGTGGACTCGCCTGCGTGCATGCGCATCCGCTTCCTTTGTCGATTGAAAATAATGCTTTATTGGTAAGTTTAATAAATATCGTAAAAAACGATTTTAAAAATGGACCTCGTATTGTCGTTTTATTTTATTTTTTACAAGTTTTTCACACGCCATTTTTAAAAACTGCAACTCAAGATAAAATTTAATGGAGCTATTTTATCGTAAAATATTTTTTGATTGTAATAAAAACTGATGCAATGAGAAGAATAGAAAATATGCTGGAATAGTGTTTCGTCATCTTGAAAATCACGGAAAGAAGATATAGCAACTGAATTTTTTTCCTTTTTTTATGCACCAGAAATTTGCGTGACATGAAGTCTATTATTTCGACCACGACATGCATCGTTTGCTCCAATTATATATGTATGTATATATATATTAGGAAGGTGTCAAGAAAAGGAAATATTAAGAGAGATAGATTTGGAGATGATTTTTTTTTAAATATTTTGAGGTAGAATACCGTCAAGCCATACATTTTTATTCACATAATAATAACAATAGTTTCAGAAAAAGTACCTTTTAGTTAGCCAATAAAAATTTATCTAGTAAAGTTTNTATATATATATATAAAATATATATACACTATACGTACGGGAAGCTACTAAAACCATCTCAAAATTGCATAAATAAATTTTTTGACGATTGCTGAGCTTCATCGTTTTACTATCTTTTCCTACTTAGTTAAGGGGGCGCCAAGTTATTTTTAAACTTTGAACCATCAAAGATCACTTGGTGGCATCCACACTTGTAATGATAAAATATGATAGATGGAAGGCATTGCTAGCATTAGAGTGAAAATAGAGTTAGACAAGTGAGAAGCAAAGTCCGATAAGCCAGACGCGAGAATAATACTTACCAATAATAGGAGAGCAGGAAAATCGGTGGTATAGACACTGCCAGTTGAAATCCGTACCACGTGCGGGTTAAATAAGAGATCAGCGGATTCAACAGGAAGCCTATTAAAAATGGCACATGGAACAATACGGACAGTGGTGAGCGCCACTTGGGCCCCACAATTTCCATCACTGTGAACATCGTAAGTATATGCGTTAATACATTTGGAAAAAATGTTGTATAAAAAAAAAAAAGTATGACAATTTTCTTTCTTAGATTATTTTTCCTAAGCAAAGCAAAGACTCACGTAAAACGAAACTAATGAGCATGGAGCCGCCGGTGGCCACAGCTGCTATGAACTTGAACGTTAAGAACATCTCGTACCACGGCGAGTACACAGTCATTAGTCCGGCTAGAGTTTGCAGTAGTATCGCGATCATCAGGGGAATTTTTCGGCCAATTCTGAAATTTAATATTAACATGACAATTATAGAGGCTTTTGTCATGACATGAACATCAATAAGGAGTAGAGTACTAATGAGGGATTTATATTTACCTATCGGACATAGCACTGAAAATCATGTTACCAACGAGTATGCCGAACATAGTGCATGATTGAGCCAAGTTGGACAATTGTTCTCTATCGCAAACCAAATCCCACTGAAATCAACGTTCAATTTTTTTTTGGCTAATTTTTTTATGAGATTTATTCTATCTTGGTCTTGTATTGTATGCAAAACTTCAGCGCTATCATGTACATTTATATTCGTATGCACTGTGAAACCAATAAAATAGCCCATGAAGTGAATAAATAATAGAGATTTATATAGAGTAAATAAAGGAGTTCAAAAAAATCACTCCAGCTAGGAATTCTTAACCGTACATCAATGTAAACTGTCACCTTTTACATATATCTCCAGAAAAATGAAAAAAAATTCGTAAACGCAAAGGAAAATGTCACATTTTTTATGCCTTTTTCTTAATGTTTAATGAATATTAAACCTATTCTTAATAATAATTTTTTTACATACATCAGATCACAATAAGAGAATTTTCTTTTATAATTTTTTCGTAATTCCAGTGGTGGTTGAGTTAAAAATTATATTATAGGGATAAATTCAATATCCATAAGATTACTTATTTCATTAAAGCGTGTTTAATAATTATTAGCAGCTATAACTAATTTTTTTAAACGCCCAAGGCAAAAAAAGAGAAAACAAAAGAAAAATGGAATCCAACCTGCGTGATGATCGTCTCCTTGAATTCTTTGCGATCGTAATGGAACTTGGTGCAACTTTGCATCGTGCCGTTACCAACATTGACCTCGCATTCATTGATCATCGTTTTATTATCGGTGGGTAGGGGTGAGACGCAAACAAAATCAATACGCGGCGCCAAAAAGACAATGGACAATTGGTTCCAGGCTACCGGGAATTTTACCAGAGACAGGGCGATTGCGATCATAATGTGCCAGGGTCCAAGCGAGCCCATCGCCTCCTGCACCAGGTCCACAGGGCCCTTTCCTGCAAAAGGGCGCGTTGATTTTTTTTTTTTTTTTTTTTTTATAAAGCACATCTTGATTAATGTTAAGAAAGACAATTGCGAGGGGGGAGGGTAATGTTGTGGAAGTTGGTTCGCAGGCAGAGTGGTGATACATTATGAATCAGGAGGGTGAAGTAAAATACAGTTTCAGAGCAATAGAGTTGATTAAATTAGATAAGCAATACGCGTGTGGTAGTTATCGTTCAGCCAAGAGATGCGTTTACTTTTTTTTACGATTACAATCATTAGAGTGGTTTACAAAAAATTTCAAGATTATGCATTGCCAAAGTAATGAAAAAAACATTTTTCGAATGTCATACATATTTCTCTAATATATACTATCGTTCTGCAAATAGTTACAATCTTTATAAAGTGCTCACGTATGCATAAAATGCACAAAAAGATTCAATACACGAAAATCAAAAAAAAAAGTCATACCCAGGATAGTTACAATGTACTCATTAAATTTACTCTGAATCTCAAACGGGCAGTCTTGTGCTGTGGTTTTATCCTCACATAGTTGTTTTCTCAACCACATAAGCATGTATACGCAAGTGACTGCTAAACCTAAGCGTGTCCCCGAGCAATTTTCTGAAACACGAGAGGATACGTTTGTGCGGACCGCAGCATTTTGCGATTTTGCAATTGTGATGTAAAAATACCATAAAGAAATGAAAAAAAAAAAAAGTTGCTCAATCGAGAAAACGAAAACAATCAAAACGCGCACGACTTTCTCCAACAAAATGGGTATAGCATATATTATAACCATACTCAAAACTCGCAAGATTGTCTTTAAGCTATTCATTGATGTTCATTATTCATCTTACGTGCGCAAATATTTACCATCAAACAACACGATTCACCGACAAAACAAGTGCTCCCAAAATATTTTAAAAAACTACTTAGCACATAAAGGTGGGCATAATTACTTTTTAAAATTTTTTTTAAACACAACACAATGTCACTGATATCGAGAAACTTTTTTTGCGTTATTACTAGCAAAAATCATATTTTCCGAAGGAAAAAAAAATAGTGTTTAAAAGTTCTACTTATATTTGTTAAAATATTTTTTAAGTAACTAAAAACATATGGAAATTTTTTGCTAAAATTTTTTTTTTATGTCAAGTACTTCATGCTAATTGTAAGAAGTAATCAAAAAAATCTCTACAATTAAAAGAGAATCGATTTTCGGCAATTTTTTTTAAAGATAAAAACCGCACTCCCACCTTTTTCAAACAACAAAACATCACCTCTGAACCATACCTGCGGTAGTTGCAAGACAGCAGAAGTCAACAGATAGCTTTCAGACGCAAGAAGTATAGGTGTAAAATAATATGCGATCACTTTGTATACAAAATAGCAATCCACAAAGTAATATATACCTGAAGTAGCTTCAGCGAGCGAGCTGTACAGCTCGGATATGCATCATAGACACAACGATTTATCAATCGGCCTCGCGAGGCCACTAAGTACGCGAGAGAATTTCATACGGCTGCGATTTCTCGCCTTGCTAACATTATGCATGCACTATGCACGTTCACGTGTATATCTGTTATGTACAAGTACAAAGTACCTACAAAACTTAGCAGACTCGAGAGAAGAGAAAGACCAGCTCGGGCGCACATGCCTAAACTTAACGGGTCTTTTTCGTGGCCTCTCTCTCCCTTTCTTTCAAATATATGCCATCACCGCGAACTCGCGACTTCTAATTTTTACAAGCTATGGCTACATAGTTTGAAGAAAATTAAACAAGTTTTTTTTTATGCTCGTTTATTTGTTTAATAATTTTTTTATGATTAATAAATCAGCGATGTTCCACGGTACCGAGAACGAAAATCATTTATCTATAAGTATATATGTTAAGTGTGCCTGTATAAGTACCTGTTTATAACGTACTTTATGACGTATATTAATGATACTGCTGCACAAACTATTTTTTATTTCCTTTTTTTTGATATTGTCCCCCCTGGCAACAAATTGCATTTCATGCCTGTGAAATATGTTTTATTTTATTTAAAAGTTAATTAAATTTGTCAAATTGAGGTATAATAATTATAATAATAATTATCATTAAAATTTAAATCACGCGACGTTTTTCAGCTCTTGTAATAAAAGTAAAACATTTTTAAAGTACTATAAAATTACAACTCAATTGGTATTGTCTTGCCCCATAATGTTTTTGTATTTACTAATGTTTGAGTGTACTTATTTTAGAGTAAGCGTATTAGGTCATGTACCTAAAAAGTTTATAGACAGTATCCAGGAATAATCGCATTTGTTTGATAGAATTTTTTTGAGTTATTTCAATGATTAAATTAAATTTAAAATTTCCAAAATGCATTTAATCAATATATTTCATATCTGATCAAAAATTTAAAACATGTTACCTAATTTTCGAAAAAAATTAAATTATTTTTTAAATGTATAAAGCTGTTAAAACCCACAAAAATTACGATGGACTGTAATTTCTTTGATTAACCTTATAGATTCTGGGCAATTCTGATTTTCAGATAGTAGGTAGAGCTCAGAAGAGCCTTATTTCAAAATAAATAATCATATAAATTTTTTCGAAGCCTTACATATAAACAGATAGATGCAATACAGTAAGATTTGTCTCAGATATAGACAGATATAGAGAGATAGGCAGACAATTGAGTTAAGTAGAAGCTTATAAAGCTTGACGAAAATGAAAAAACAAAGTTAAAAAAAATTTTTTTTTGATTTGTCAATTCGTCCGAACAACACCAACAAAGTCTATCACAGAAGCATCAAAGAATCGAGGGAGCGATGATGCAATTGCCAAGATACCGGAGAGGCATGCTGCCGGCTTAAAATTAGACCGAACGCTCCTCTGCTCCTTCTCCCGTGCACTTTTCCATAAAAAAAAGATCTCGCATGAGGTTGCTCCAAAATTAAAATGACAAAAAATTATCTGAAAAATCGGTAAGAAAATGTCACCTTTTTTCGATCTGCTCTGCATCTTCACCTCCTCCGTATCACCGGGATTCTGCATGATGAGACACACCGGCTCGGCTCTTTAATCGCGATACGCGCTTAGGTATGTGAGATGAGAGAGAGATGAGGACGACCGTAACAGTCGAAGGTGTTGGAGTCGACTGAGCCAAAGCTCTCTCAGAGCTCTCGTCTCGATTCACCGCTCTCCTACTCTCCTTTACAAGTACGTTTTCTTGGTACACGTACGTAACAAAACACACTCATACAAAATCTATCGAGACATTGGATTAGATGGATTTTTTTATACCAATCTTCGGCTCGATGTGTATTAAGTGAGCTGGAGAAATTTGAGCGGCTCCTTCTTTGCCTTGATACAAGATAAAAGCCTTTTTTCATCCTTTGAATCGGATGGGACTAGACATACTTTATTATCTCTACTTGGGAAGAAACAAGTCGAAATCTAAGCGAGTTCGTTCTGAGCTCGTGACTTTCGTAATCGGTGCCATTTGCTAATGCTGCGGCTGAAAGTAAATTTTATGCAGGAATGCGACGCTGAGTAAATTTACGCATGATTTACTATCGTTTTCGTTTAATGGTGGTTTTATACGGCAGAAATTTTCATTCGAATTGCATGATTAAAGTAAAGCCATTACTCGTGATAATTTATGCGCATAGAAAGGCTTTATCTAACAGAATTAAACTGGTGTGCGTTTTTCTCACGCCGTTCCTAAACAAACACATCCACGGCTTGTCCGCGTTACTTTCACAAAGTGCTGTCCACAGAGTAAGGTGTCACTTGTTCACACGTGGTGAAATAACTTTCGGTAGAGTTTTGTAGTGTTACACGAGCGTTTCAATCGATAAAACGATGATTAACTTTCACTCAAGTCCCATCAAAATGAAATAATACAATTTTTTATATTAAAAAGCTTTTATTATAAAAATATTACTTGCACTAAATATTTACATCTCACTATCATAATACTACGATTTAACTTATTTTTTGTGCCCTTAAAAGAAATTTGGACAGTATAATCGCACTTAAAATGTTGATGTAAAAATAAATAGCTGTTCTAATTGTCACGAGCAAAAGCTGATAATTTGCTAATCACCGATCGCTTCGGTTCGTTGCTTTCGCTGCTTTCGACTTCGTCGATTTTCCTTTTTCTTTTAGCCTCTGCATCATCTGCTTCCAACTCGGAACTGTTTTCTGCATCTTTCGATATGTTATTATACATAGCAAAAGCTTTTTTTGTAAGCTCGGTCGCAGATAGGTCCGGCATCTTTTTTTCCAGGTTTGCCTTGTTATTGGAAAACCAATAGACAAACGATTCTTTGGCAGGAGTTTTAGGTTTCGTTGGTTTGGATTTTGGGGTAATTATTGGTGAAGGAGCAATTTTTGGTGGTTCTTTGATTTCATCCAGACCCAGAAGACCTGCAATGATCGATGAGAAAAACGTTAAATAAAAAAAAAATAAATAAAAAAATATCAAGTCACGTTACTACCTTTGGGTTCAAGTGTATTGTTTTTCTTTAAAAACGGATTACTTCTTCTACCAAACCTCGGACTTGGAGTCAAGGGCTTAATTTCAACATCAGGTGTTTTAAAGGACGGAGTTAGCAGTACAGGCTCTTCCTCTTCTGGCTCGACGCAATCTTTAAACATATCCTCTTGAGTTGATGATTTATTATCTTCTTCAAAATCTTTGTTGTCAGCAATAGTTTCGAATTTCCTGGCCAAGGGCACTTTGTTCATGTGTCTTGCGTACTTTATTGCCAGCTCTATAACTTTTTGCGAGGCTATTTGCTGGACCAAGTCGACTGCACGGAACTCGGCATTGTTACGCATAGCGGCCTGAAGAATAATAAATACAAATAATAATAATGCTCATTGTGCGGTTGCGTGTGTATTCATAATGGTGGTTTTCGATATTATGTCTCGAATACTTCCAGTACAATGATGAATTAGTAGACTTGATTAGCTAGTAGATTTTCAAAATCGAAAATAAATTAAAATTATGCACGAAAAATATTGATATTTCAAAGATATTTACAAGTATGGTACTTGTAAAAAAGAGAAAAAATTTAGTTAAAAATAAATAAGAATATTTGTAACGAAAAGCAAATACTCACAGCAATCAAGGCGAGCACAGCTTCTTTCTCGTCAGTCGGATTACTTCCAAGCTGCCAAACGACAGATTCCTTTTCTGTCTTTTCGCTTCCAGGCTCACAAAGTGGGATTGTCAACGGGATTTCTCCAACTATTGGACGCGGCGCCGTAGGTGGGTAATGACTACCTTTGCATAAAATACAACGTGCACTTCGATCGGACTCGCTGATGCCGATTATAAAATAGTTGTCGAATTTTCCTTTGCTCTGATGTGAAATTTTTCAAGTGATTATTTTAAAAATGCAACGATATTTTGACAACATATTCTTTAAAATTGAAAACATTAACTTGCCATTCTATTTGTATTAGCGGCAATTCTCCATAACGATGATTTTCTGTCAAAAATATTAATAATACCATCGGCATCCATAACAATGGGTGATCCGAGATCAGAAAATCCAAGCCACATTAAATTAGCAGCTGGCGAAAGTGGTACAGGCAAAGTATTATTTTTCAAGTATGTACCACTTACACGAATCCATAGCAAACTCATAATCTGATCACCAGAAGTTCCTGTAATAATTATTTAACAATTATAACTGATTTATATTTATTTAGTTTAATCTCATTCCAGAGTTGGACGACATTGTATCAAACAATCAAACTACTATTTCGAAACTTTACAGAGTTATTACCTATACTAGAATGATAAGCAACTGCCAGATTATTCCCATAGCCATTCATAGCAACAACTGGACCAGGCAAAGCTATAACTTCTCTCTGAGTACCACCAGTCATGAATATCCTCAAAGTTCTCAAGCTGGTTGCAACAGCAACAAAGTTACTTCCAGCAGCAACTGCCAATGCAGCTTCTCCATCAGGAAGATCCATGGTCCATTCTTTAGTTCCAGACCCCCAGCCTAATAATTTAAATGTTTTTCTTAAGAGAGTCCTCAAAGTTATAAAATTTAAAAACATTTTCTGATATATAATAGTTGCTGGCTTAATAAAATCTCGTCTTGCCTTGTAATGCTATCACAACAATTTTGCTTGGAGTATCATGAGATGGTGGTCCAGCCAGCACTAGAGCTTCAGAGGATAGTGCTGCCATTGTGTGCTGCAAGTGATTAATCATGTGCATGGAATGATGTACATTAAAATCGTGAAAATTGACTTCTATATTACTGTCTTCCCTGTCTTCTGACGTAAAACACATGACTATTCCTACATCATTCCAGACCTGTTTTTTAAAACTTTAAGTTATTACTGGAACTATATTTTAGTACAACTAATATTTAAAATGAAAGTAATGTTGTCTTACCATATATCGAGATAAAAGATGAGATGGAGAAGAACCTGGCTGAAAGGGTTCTTGCAAATTAATTTCTGGCATGTAGTTTTTCTCATCATCTTTCTTTTCCGTTGCTACATCAGATACAGTTTTCTGATCCTCATCTAGAGCTACAGATGCTTTAATTTTGCTCAACGATATTACATTGTCATCATCCTCATCATCTGTATCATTAAAATCAAGGTTGCTGTCAGCTGTGTCTCCATTAATTATAGGATCTGCTGCCAGATCACTGAGGGTCCTGTCTTCTTTTGCCACTTGCTAAACAAAGCATTCAAGTGAAATATATACACTTTTTAATACAAATATTAATTTTGTTTGGAATTTTTACTTACAACTTCAATACAGCTGAGCTGACCAAGAGCATCGCAAAACGCAAGTTCTTTGGGTTCATGTGGATGCCATGCAAGAGAAGTGATTTTAGCATTTTGTTGATGTTCAACATATCCAACCAGCTCTTTACTTTCGACGTTCCAAACAATTACTTCACCATAACTAGAACTTGCTGCCAACATGGTTCCACAATCAGAAAATTTACAAATACTTAATTCCTAAAAAATTTAGTCACAAGATTAGAAAAATTTAATTTAGTAACAGAAAAATATCACAAATAAGTACAGACGTTTTTTATTTCTACAGATCGTAATTTAAAAACTTCTTTCCAAGAAGATCTTTCCACAACAATTACTTCTCTGCCCTGTGGGTAAGCGAGATATTCTCCATTCTTACAACTGAAGGATGGAACACCATAAACTTTAGCTGTGAAAAAGGAATTGCATTTTGGAACAACATTGTTCCAAGTATGAACTGATCTCTTGTCCTTAATACTCCATACTCTGACTGTGCCATCACCACTTGAAGATGTCTAGAACATTTTAAAGGTAGAAACGTAAAATTATAAAAAAAAAAAAAACTCAAGTTACTCCTTAGCTATTACATAAAACATACAATAAATTCTTCTTGTGGGTCAAGTGACAAGCCGAATACTGGAGCTTCATGACCACTTAATTCAAAATTGTCTTTTGTACTAATATTTGAAACTTGAATTTTCATATCACTAGAAAAAAATTAAAACTTAAAGTAAAAAAAAAAATATCAAGAGAAAAATGAAAATTCATGTTATTTTACCAGGATCCAGAAACAATCAAGTTGCTGTTTTTGGCAGTAGCTAGTGCAGATACAGTAGCAGAAAACCTAGTGACAATCCCTTCTTTTTCGAGTTCTGGGTGATTGAGGATTTGCACTGTATTATTATCAGTCCCAACATAAAGTTTGCCATTCTAAAAAACAAGTACAAGATTTAATAATAATAATAATCATATAAAAACAGAAGCACAGAAGCAGAAAATTTGCCAGTTAAATAAATTACTTTGGACACTACAATTGTAGCTTGCTCAGAAACACAACTGGCTGATGGATCATCATCCATTAAATTAACCCATGACCTAACGTCTCCATCTGTACCACAAGTGATAAGCCGGCCTCTGGAAAAACAAGGTGTATAACATATTAGAGGAATTCTTGAATAACTTGAAGAAAAAAATAATCCAAGTACTTACTTATCTTCAGTAAAATAACAAACGTCAGTATGCCCCTCAGGATGGGCATAACGCATTGGTTTTCTGATGAGCGGCATTTTTAACAAATCTCCTTCGAACAATATTTCCTTAAAATCCTGTATTTATAGGTCGAAAATATGGTAATGTTTAATCACAAAAAGTAAAAAATACACATGAACTTTGGAGAACTATTCGATCATCTTAACGTGCGGCATCGCATAACCACACCAAAAACATCAGCTGGTTCGTATGTCAACACCAAAAAATTAGCTTGACCGTATTGAAATGATCGGAAACAATCAATTTTACTTGGTTATTGTAGCTAAATTATTGAATGTCAAGATCTTGTAACAACCACAAGTCTAAAATTTTTCTTAGCTTGGTCAAAAGGGTAATGTGTCGCATACTTAGTTTGCCGCCCGATTTCCTCTTCTCAGAGTGCTCTCTGCCATTGGCGGATTGGCGCACAACCGCGCATGGGTAATACAAAATTAAAAAAAAAAAGATATATTTATTTATTTTTTTTATAATTTTGTGATATAAAATTCAATGTCTGTAGGTGTTTAAAATATGTGACCCTCTCTCTACGTCCCGTAACTACCCTCAAACAATTTATAGTAAAAATATTATAGGTTTTTCGCTCAAGTGAAGGTTGATTACTTGGGCTTCAAGTAAATTATTACATAAAAGGGAAAATATTTGATTTATTCTAATTTTTTTCTCTTTTTGTTATATTAACACAAAAGACAGAATAAAGATAAAGAACTTACCCTGACCTTTTAAAACTGTACCTAATACCCAATTTTGAAGAAAAAATAACAATCAACAAATGTATTGGTCAATTATTTATTACTATTGTATTTTTTTCAAGAACCCACCCTTCTTTAATTTAGTACACTGTAGTATATAATATATATAGTATGAAATCAACTTATTTTTATTTTAAATTAACAATACTGAAATAATAAACTGTGTTTTCATGCTAACGGAGTTTTTTCGTGGAATTTTCATATAGACATCAGTGGTGTTTGGTGATGTATTAGTAATACAGTATTACTGTATTTTTTAGGGATTTAGACTGAAGCGCAGGCGCACTTTATCCTTTTTTTTATGTACGTTTAAAGGTTAGGTTGCTCTCTGCGCATCGGCAATGCAGACCGCAGGCAGTGCACACGCGAACAAACGTTAGCTATTTATTTTTATATAACTTTCATAAATGTTAAAAAAAGGGAAGTGCAGTGTAGCGGCAGTGTTGTTAATGTAAAATTACTGAGTACTGCAGTAATCACCTGGTAAATGTGTAATTGGTACACGTGTAACAACAGCACACTTGCAATTAACCGACCGATTCGTTGGTTGTTTACATGTTTGCACGCCACAGCAAGCCGGGGTTGTTAATTGAAGCGTGTACCAAATAAGTTGCAAGACAAACAAAAACACCATGTACTCGATCATCAAGACAACGCATCCAGCGACCGGAGTCGAGCACGCAATCACTTGCAACTTCTTTAATCGCGCTGAAAAATGCCTCGTCGTCGCGGGTGCGAACATCATTCGCGTCTTTCGTCTCATCCCCAATGTTGATCCGGCTAAGAAGGAAAAATTCACCGGTACGTTGACATTTACAAGCATAAACGATGGACCCTCTATTTCTTGATCTATCAAAGGATAACTTGTATTATTTTCGTCTAGCCTTTTTCTTTTCCATTACATTTGGTTATTTGTTTGTTTGATGCACAGAGTCAAGGCCACCAAAAATGAGGCTAGAGTGTCTAGCTCAGTATACTCTGCACGGCAATGTCATGTCAATGCAGGCTGTCCACCTGATTAATTCTCCCCGGGATTCTTTGCTGCTTAGCTTTCGAGAGGCCAAACTTTCGGTCGTAGAGTACGACCCAGAAAGTCATAGCCTCAGGACGGTTTCGTTGCATTACTTTGAAGAGGAAGAGATCAAGGTTTGTGAACTTGCATGCTTATAATCTCTGTGGAAATAGTCAGCTGCATCATCTGCAATAAAAGCCAGTTTATGAAGCTTATCAAATAACACGGTCTAATTCAGCCACTTTTACTTCAACATCAATACAACTGGCATTAGGTTTATAAAGCTTGAAGATTATGTGGCTACATTGCCTGCAATTATTCATATTTATTGTACAGTGTTGCACCTCTATTGAACTTGTCATCAATAGCCTTATCATATTTTATATAAATGACTTCTCTTCCTTATTTTTGACTAAAGAAACATTTAATAACTGCACTATCAAGAATTATGAAGTATGATAACTTTCACTTAAAATTATTACTTTCTAAAAAAATTGTACGTCCATTAAAAGTAGACACTACTGAAATTTTATATAATAGGATGGCTGGACAAATCACCATCACATACCAATCGTCAGGGTGGACCCTGAAGGGAGATGCGCTGTAATGTTAATCTATGGCAGAAAGTTAGTGGTCTTGCCTTTTCGTAGAGATCCAATTTTAGATGAAGGAGATTTACTGGATAATCCAAAGTCTAGTAAAACGCCTATTTTATCCTCCTACATGATTGTTTTGAAAACATTAGAAGAAAAAATGGATAACATAATAGACTTGCAATTTTTGTATGGTTATTACGAACCTACATTATTAATTCTCTACGAGCCAGTAAGAACTTTTCCTGGGTAAGTTTTGTTTTAGTTTGAAGAATTAATTAACTAAAATGTAAACCATAAAAATGATTCTTACAAATTGTTTATTTTCACAGTCGAATAGCTGTAAGACAAGATACTTGTGCTATGGTAGCAATATCATTAAATATTCAGCAGAAAGTGCATCCAATCATTTGGTCTGTTTCAAATTTACCTTTTGATTGTTACCAAGCAGTACCTGTCAAAAAACCTCTCGGTGGCACATTGATTATGGCAATCAATTCTTTAATTTATTTGAACCAAAGTATTCCACCCTATGGAGTATCTTTAAATAGTTTATCTGATAACTGTACAAACTTTCCTCTCAGTATGTATCCAGCAAATTTATATACAATTAAATTGGATTAGTATGTATTTCTGGCCACATAAATATATTACTTTTATTTTTCAGAACCCCAAGAAGGCGTCAAAATAAGCTTAGAGGGTTCTCAAGTCGCATTTATTTCACCAGACCGTCTGGTGATATCATTAAAGTCAGGAGAACTGTACGTGTTATCTCTTTTTGCTGACAGTATGAGATCTGTTCGTGGATTTCACTTTGACAAGGCAGCTGCTAGTGTTTTAACTTCCTGTGTAAGTATGATTACAACTTCACTCATAATTAAACTATGAGATAAGTTTCAGTAATTTTAATTTTACCACAATAATAATCATCATTTCAGGTATGTGTGTGTGAAGATAATCATTTGTTTCTTGGGTCTCGACTAGGAAATTCCCTGTTATTGAGTTTTACAGAAAAGGAAACTGAACGGATCAATGACATCATGATACTAAAAAATTCTCTTAATAGCAACATGGACGAGCCAGCTAGTAAAAAATCAAAACAAGACTTTTTAGAAGACTGGATGGCATCTGACGTCAAAGATATTGAAGATCCTGAAGAATTAGAAGTGTATGGCAGTGAAACGCAAACATCTATTCAAATCGCTTCTTATATTTTTGAAGTGTGTAATTATTTTCTATTTTTAAGATAAAAAAAAAAAAACTTATTTATTATATTTTGTATTATTTAAAATTTTGCGCTTAGGTACGTGACACTTTATTAAATATTGGACCATGTGGAAATATATCCATGGGAGAACCCGCATTTTTATGCAAAGAATTTGCAACCGGTCAAGAACCTGATATTGAATTGGTAACGACTTCAGGTTATGGTAAAAATGGAGCCCTTTGTATTCTTCAGCGATCTATTCGCCCAAAGGTAAAAAACGTTAAATCATAGATAAATATTCAAAAAGAATCAATCATTACCTATACTTTTTTTTGTAGATATTAACGACTTTTGATTTACACGGTTATGAAAACATCTGGACTGTAGTTGATTCAACTATTAATGAAAATCGTGGACGAACAGAAAATGAAACCAGTCACGGATTTTTAATTTTAACTCAAGACGACTCTACGATGGTAACTTAATTTTTTAGTGATTAACGATCTCAAAAAAAACTTGGATGATGACAAAAAAAATAATTTTCCAATAGGTACTTCAGACAGGGCAAGAAATTAACGAGGTGGTCGATAAGCTCTCTGGCTTTAGTACTCAAAGCACAACAATATTTGCTGGTAATCTTGGATCTAATCGATATATTATTCAAGTGACGCAAATGGGTGTACGGTTATTGCAGGGCTTAAAACAAGTTTGTATAAAAAATATAACACTAACAAAATTAATACCAATAATATTAGACAATTCAAATAACGCTCAAACTAATTATTTAAGATTCAATACAAGCAAATGGATATGGGATGTCCTATTGTTCACGTGAGCTGTGCTGATCCGTATGTAATCTTACTTTTTGAAGATGGACAAGTTCATCTTGTAACACTCAAAGAGAGTAGGGGCACAGCGTGGCTACATGTGCAAACAATCAATTTGATGTTCGTAAGTATATTTGCTGAATTGAGAAATGTAGTTTTTTTTTCAAACATTTTCATCTATCTATTTGAAAAAATTCTCTATTCTTTATCAACTTCAGCGGCCACAAATAGAGGCATTGTGTGCATACCGAGATGTAAGTGGCTTGTTCACCACTGTATTACCAGAAGAAGTGCTAGATGACCTGGAAAATGATAATTCAGATGAACCAGAAATTATTGAAAGTGTAGACAATGAAGAGGAGTTGTTGTATGGTGATAACTCTGCATTCCAAATGCCAGCACCACCAAATCCAAAACAACCAGAAGCGACGAAAAAAACTCCTTGGTAAGATGTTGAAAAATTTACTCACAATTACGTTTTTTAAATTTTCCTTTGTTATTTTTAGGTGGCAGCAGTATTTGCAAGAAATAAGGCCTACGTACTGGCTTTTTATTTACAGAGATAGCGGAACATTGGAGGTTTACTCGTTACCGGACATACGTTTGTCTTATTTGGTAAAAAACTTTGGTTTTGGTCAAAACGTACTCCATGACAGTATGGAGTTTACGACTGTACAAAGTACACTGACCACTGAACCCGTTAATCCTGAGTGGCAGGTAAATGGAAAAATATTTATAAACTATTCAGAATATATTATAAATTTTAAAAATATGCAGGTACGTGAAATACTAATGGTCGCTTTGGGACACCATGGTAACAGACCTATGCTTCTAGTGCGTCTTAACAACGAAGTACAAATTTATCAAGTGTATAGATATCCAAAAGGCTATTTAAAACTACGATTCAAGAGGATAGAGCACAATTTTATTGTTGGATTTGCGAGGTAATAAAATAACACTAACTTATAACGATATTATTACAATGTACCTGTACTCATCTAATTCATTTCATCTACAGAATTGAACCAAAGGATGAAGACATGCACAGAATGGACAACACAAAATTGTGTATGATAAGGTACTTTGGTAACATAGCTGGTTATAACGGAGTCTTCATTTGTGGTGATTATCCTCACTGGCTCTTCTTAACTGGTTGCGGAGAATTACGAGCCCATCCCATGAGCATTGATGGGCCTGTAAAAGCATTCGCACCTTTTAACAATATTAACTGTCCCCAAGGCTTTTTATATTTAAATAGAAAGGTATAATTTATATTGGATTCCAGATTTCAATTCATACATTTATTTCAATCGATTTTTTTTTTTTTTTCAGGACGAATTAAGAATTTGTTGTTTGCTGACGCATTTATCCTATGATGCTCCATGGCCTGTGAGAAAAGTGCCTTTACGTTGTACGCCTCACTTTGTAACGTATCATCTTGAAAGTAAAACTTATTGTGTGGTAACAAGTATAAGCGAGCCTCTAAAAAGTTACTATAGGTTTAATGGAGAAGACAAGGTATACATTACACTAGACGTATGATAAATCAGAAAAAAATATATCTACAGCAATAATTCATTCATAGGAATTTACGGAAGAAGAAAGGAATGATAGATTTATATATCCAAACCAAGAACAGTTTAGCATAGTATTATTTTCGCCAGCCAAATGGGAACCCATTCCAAATACAAAGTTTGATTTGGAACAGTGGGAGCATGTGACGTGTTTAAAAAACGTATCTCTGGCTTATGAAGGAACACGATCTGGTTTAAAGGGATACATTGTCATTGGAACAAATTACAATTATGGAGAAGACATCACTAGTAGAGGTCGGATACTTATATTCGATATTATTGAAGTCGTTCCTGAACCAGGTCAGCCTTTAACTAAAAATAAGTTTAAGCAAATATATGCCAAGGAACAAAAGGGACCTGTCACTGCTATTACTCAGGTTTCAGGCTTCTTAGTGTCAGCTATTGGCCAAAAGGTTTTTACATTTCATCTCTTAATTCAATTTTTTTTCTAAAGTTGTATACTAATCAGTCAAATTTTTACAGATTTACATATGGCAACTCAAAGATAATGATTTAGTCGGAGTTGCATTTATTGATACTCAAATTTACGTGTGCCAGATGCTTAGCATTAAGAGTTTGATTCTTGTTGCCGATATATATAAATCTGTGAGCTTGTTAAGGTTTCAACAAGAATACAAAACCTTGTCTTTAGTTAGTCGTGTAAGTAGCACAAAAAATTCGTAATATTGTCAGTTATACTACAAGTGGTTGACATGTATGATATTTTGTATAACTTTTTCAGGATTTTAGAACCACAGAAATTTATGCAATAGAATATTTAATACAAAATAATGAATTAGGATTTATTGTGGCTGATGGTGAGAGCAACATTGCAATTTTTTCGTATCAGCCTGAATCCTCTCAAAGTCTTGGAGGCCAAAAATTAATTAGAAGAGCAGACATACACTTAGGACAAAAGATCAACACATTTTTTAGAATAAAATGTAGATCAACAGATTCAGCAAACCCAAATAAACAATTTTCTGGGGCTGACAAAAGACACATAACGATGTATGGTAAGTAGTCAGAAGATAAACAGTAAATTTCTAGATGAATGTTTATTTTGACCATACCATATATTGAATTTAAATAATTGCAGCAACATTGGACGGTAGCCTTGGTTACATTCTCCCAGTCCCCGAAAAAACTTATCGACGGTTGCTCATGTTGCAAAACTTATTGGTTAGTCACTTATATCACACGGCAGGATTAAATCCAAAGGCTTATAGAACATTTAAAAGTTCCTTAAGAATGCAAGGTAATCCTGCCAGAGGAATCATTGATGGTGATCTTGTAATGAAATACTTAGACTTGTCAATCAATGATAAATCTGAAATTGCGAAAAAAATTGGTACAGGAACACACGAAATCATTGAGGATATGCATGAAATATACAAGCAAACGTCTCATTTTTAAATAAAGCCCTTAAGGGTTTTCATCAACTTTGTATATAATTTATTGTACATTGAATAGTTCTAAGTAAATAGGCGATTTTTAATTGAAAAATGTTTTTTCGTATGTATTTTGCCATCACTTTCTCTAAAGTCAGCGTTTTAAAAAGGTGTCATTAAGCTGTTATTATTTCTATCATTGATTATTTTTAATTGTATTTATAGATTTCCATAACTCTTGTCGTTCAAAAAATCAATATGGAAAAAAAAAACAAAAACAAAAAAAATAGTAAGACAATTTCGACAATTAAACTGCACCACCGAGTAACACTATAAACTATACAAAGTACATTAATTTAAAATGGGAAAGGAATTCCACGACCAAATAAAGAGTTACATCGGAAATTCTCGCTTGCGCAGCTTTAACAGTTTTGTTTAAAATGCATATAAACAACATTATACAAATAAAAAATGTTTTGAAAGCATCCCGGCTCTAATATACATCAACACCTATAATGTAAATCAATAACCACGGAGTCTATGATGTCATGGACAGTCATACATCCATATGTTGTATAATTAAAAATTCTATGGTTTTCGCATTATGGGGTTTAATACTGTAGGATTTGTTAGATATGTGGTTAAAAGATCTGGGATAACAGGGCCATTAGGTGAAAGTACCTACATTTTGTAATTTTCTGGGGGCCTGGAGAGCAGCTAGAGTATATACATATCTCTGCTTCTCCCCACTATCCTTATACCCCACCCTCTGATTTAATTTATAAATTTCATAATGTGTATTTAACAAACACAAAACATTCCTTTGAAACTTAAAAGTACTAGGACTTAAAGTACAACTGAAATAAATATTGGGAAATCAATGGAAAAGAACGAGATTGAATATTTCGATAAGACTTAAAAAAATACAAGATTTTGTTGTTCTTTGCAAATTTTTATTTCCCTTTTTATTACATTAATACAAAAGAAAAAATATATAATATAATTCAAGGTAGTTAAATAATCGGTTTTATCAGAAAATATAATAAATGTGAAAGTTTCTAAATTCTATTTTTCCACGCCGCCCAGGAGGCAAATAGATCTACTTTTTTATATTAATTTGGGGCAAAAAAGGATATATATATATATATATATATGTTGCATTTATGTTAAAAACAGGATACATCATCGATTAGCAACAGGTGTTCCTGAAAAAAAAATAGGGGCAGTAGGGGCCTACTTGATTCCTTAATCGCTTGATCAACCGATTCAGGTATAATTTCATGTAACCATTTAAACTTTACATTAAAATTAAATAATAACCGTGGTGGTCTTCGCCAGTAGCCCTACGCATCCACGAAAAAACAGAACTCCCTACCTAACACAAGTTGAAGAAAAAATAATAACAACCAATTGATGAATTCATTGAATTTTTAATTTTCAGAGAAACTATAGTTAGGGTACACATGAAATGTACAAACAACATGTACACGCTGTCTCTGATGAAATTTGTGTAAATCAACTGTAAAATAAAGAGTTGTAAATAAATATGCAACTTAGAAATAAAAAATTTTTGCTAACATACTACTTTTTAATTAGCATTTAAACTATTTTCTTTATAGATTAATAATACTTACTACGAACCTTATTTTTCTACCATCATCCCTTTTTATTTTTATTAAATCGATTCTGTAATCTTGATCGTTCAAAACACTACTTTAAAAATTAACTTATAGAAAATTTATAGAATTTAAAAAATGTCCACTATTGAAAGTTAGAAAACGCAAACGCAACCCTAAACGCATATCAAATCGGGATTCCTGAGTTAAAAATTGTATTAATAAAAACGCAATTACGAAATCGTTTACGTTGGATAAATACTTATAGTTACAAATTAGGAAAGCGATCTGTCGCTTTGTCGCAACATTGCGTTTACTACGATTTGGGCTTTAGTTTTAAACATTGTATGCATGCACTGAACGTGCGCATTTTAATATATTGCTGATATCAAAATAATATATCATTGGAGAAATTATGCATAAATAAAATAAAATATATGTTATAAATTATGAGAATTATGTTATAAATATACATGTATAAATTTTGATGTAGAAAAATTCACTTACATTCAAATTAGAAATAACATAGGGTATTTTCATAACTCATTAATAAAATATAATAAAAATGTGATAAATAAAATTGACTCTTTCTTTAGGTAAGAAGACTATTGTTTCACATAGCTTTTAGTTACCATTTTAGATAACCATCAGCAGTTAACGTAAAAAATGTGTACATATACTCGAAACACTTTATACTTGTCGGAACAATTTGTTAACATACGTTCAATATCGTAAATAACCTATGATTGACTATAATTATTAGATAAAAACTTGCTCTTGCTGTCACTCACTAGGTACGTTATATTTAGAAATGCTCCGACAGATATTAAATGCTACGGGTGTACAATTGTCAATAAAATATATATTTCATATAACATATATGAAGGGCGAGGGAACTAATAGACGTTTTAAATTTGATAGGAAATAAAAAAACAGCAAAGTAACAGTTAACCCGACAAATTAAAAAAAA